ACGACCCAAAACACAGAGCCCCGGAGTCCCCAAGACCAGATTTAGAATTACTGAGGCTTAATGAACAAACAGCCCACTTCTGCCACAAGAAATCCAAATTGGGCCCTGCCAGGTGCCACTGTCAGCCTTCTCCCCAAAGGCCTCCCAGGCCCCCCCCCCCTCCTCCCTTCTTACCCCATTCCCATCCCAGTGAGCCCAGGACAGCCCTCAGACACCTCACACGGAGCCAGTCCTGCCTCGAGCACCAGCTCAGGGTACGGACATGCTGATCAGAAGGATTCTTCTCAACTAATTCAGATTCAGGGGTAATGAACTGAACGTCTGTCATAAAGGACCTAGGCTTTCAAACTGGGTCAGGCTGCAAGACACCTCAGCAGGGCCAGGATGCACATGTGTGAGGGCAGTCCCGGAGCTCAGGGCCTGCCCCCATCAGCAGTGGCCTTAGGGAAGCTCTGAGCCTCCTTCCTAAGCCTCAGTTTACCCACCCGAAGAATGGCAACAATAGCAGCACTGACCTGGGCTGCGGTGAGAACTCAAAAAGCCTCTGTGTCTTGGCCTCTCAGCACAGTGACAGGCACAGAGTAGTAACTCAGAAAGGGTCGCCGTGGCGATAATTTGAAGAAAAGCAGAAATACTAAGGTATTCGACCAAAGGTCACAGCACACATTACACTGTGCTAAGTCAGAGGCCGTTTCCCGCCCAGGCCAGCGGCCGCAGGTGCCAAAGGTTTACACAAAAGCTCTGGGGAGAAAGACTGAAGACTGCGAAAATGCTCTCCACTAAATGAACGTTGTCTGCAAACTGGGAAAAGACCACCATTAGTCAATTTGGCCCGCGGAACACCTGGGGTCCTGCTCAAAAGAGCCTGGTGTTGAGAGTGGAGTTTGGCAATCCGGCGTTCCCCCTCAGGGAGCGGGCTCTAATGGAGGCATCCTGGCATGTGCCGGGCCACGGAGAAGCCACACTGGAGCACAGAGATCTGTGTTCCAGTCCTAGCTCCCTACCCTCGGAAACGTCCTCTCTCTCGGCCTCAGCTTTCCCATCCGGAAGATGGTAAGAGTTGGGCTGAGAACATCTTTCTCCAAGCAGCCCTGGGGCTCTCTGGTCCGGGGAGTTGACAGATGGCCCGGGGCCCCACCCCAGACATAACCCGTGGCCCTCGCAGGCCCTGGGGACAGTCCCGCCCTAAGAGACCAGAGGAAAAGGAAAGGGGTGGGTTCATTTTGTGGCCGACGCTGGGACCGGAATCAGAGGGTCTTGCCTCCGAGGGGTTTGCTTCCCCTGCTTGGCAGGCCAGGGAGGCCAGAGCAGTCCAAACCCAAGAAATAATAAATCCTACCCAGGCTCTGCACAGCCAGGAGGCCCGGCTGGCTCTCGTCATAAAAAGATCTTATCCCCGTGAGCACCCCTGCCCATCGCAGGGGGGGGGGGGGACTCCGCCCTCCTCCTCTCAGCCCTCCGCCTCTACTTCTATTTCCTGTGACAACCTGCAAACTGAAGACCAACTTGCCTCTCCACCCACCCCCCACGCCCAGGCTTCTGCGCCCAGGCTTCTGCTCGACCCCCGCCCTGCCCCACCCCCCACGGGGCCCCAGCTGCAGGAGGCCCAGGCAGAGTGTAATTCCCCTTGCCCTCCTCTCAGCCCCCCGGCCGGTCCGGACAGATTAAGCCTTTGTCACACACACCCAGAAAAAGCTCAGGGCCAGATGGGACAGGACAAGTGGTGTCAGATCATCGACCCGCTGCTGGCCGGGACTCAGGGAAGGGCCCAGCCCCAGCACTGCATATGGCTGTGGGAGGAGGAGCGGGGGCCCATGGAGGGGGCAGCGGCATGGAAAAGAGACAGCACACTATGGCCACCCTGGGGACCTCGCCCACGCCGCCGGGCAACCTTGTTCAGCTGCTGGAGGATCCAACTCCTACACGACACCCCCTCTTCCCTGAAAATGTCCTGCCTGGTTTCTTGATCATATCCTCAGTTGTGCCCACCTCCCCGCCCCCCCCCCCAAGCTGGGTGCCCCTGGAGCAGGCACAGTGGCCAACCCACCCCAGTACCATAGCATTCCCCACAAGGCCTGTGGGTGCTAAACAAATGCCTTGGACAAAGGTTTATGGCCCAATGACCTTCATAAAACCCACCCAGGGCAAAACTACAGGATCTCTCCCAACTGCCACCAGAGGCAACGATAACTTTAAGAGGGTATGTGTGTGTGTGTGTGTGTGTGTGTGTGTGTGTGTATAGGCAAGTGAAGGGGGGTGTCCTTTGTACCTGTCAAAGAAGGTCCCATTCAACCCCTCCCAGGAAGAGGCCATGGTTGCCCCTGAGTTCCCAGGAGGATTCTTTCCTCTTAGATCAGTGAAAAGGAAAATAGAAATGTAAAAATAATAGCTGAGCGCCAGGATGGTGCTTGAAGATGGGGGTGGCAAGACTAGGGGCATCTCCTGTGTCCGGCTCCGGTTGGCTGGGCAAGTGGCAGGTAACTAACAGGCTCTCTGGGGACCAGCAGGCCGGGCAGGAGGGCGTGGGGAGCTTGAGGGGCAGGCTGTCACAGGAGGGCATGTCTGTTGTGTTTGTCGTTTTCCTGGCAGCCTGGGCAGGGAGGCCTAGGTCCCCTTCTCTGCCTCCCAGGCAGGTGGTCCCTGGGGGAAGGTTTATTATTGGTCTGGAAGCCAGGCGGAGGCTTTTGAGGCCCGGGCTGCCAGGGCGGGTCAGTGTGGGCCTCTGGAAGGTTATGAAAAGACTGGATGGGCTGGCAGAACCCAGGCCCAGACCTAGCACCCAATTTCTGCATGTGGCCTGTATGGGCGAGTGTGTTCTTGCTCCATCTTGACAGCTGTCTGGCTAAGGGGTTAAGAGGACTGCCCCTGATGGCCACTCCTTAGAGGAGAGGTCAACCCACACAGAGAACCTATGAACCAGCTGCCAAGTCTGAGGGTCACCTGTCCCCCAACTCCAGGAGTGGGGGCTCCTGCCTCAGACTAAGAAGGAGATGGAGCCAAGACTCCCAGCTCCCTAGCGAGGAATAACCCTGATATGTGTGTGGGAGGGGGGGACAGGAAGGGGGGGGCGCCACAAACTGATTTGGGAAGCCTAGGTGGCTCAGGGCAATGACCCAGCGTGGGGGGCACAGACCCAGCCAACCATCTGGTGGGTCACTGACCTGCAAAACCCACACTTAGGCTGGGGACACTAGCCCCAGGTGGGGGAGCACTGAGGAGGGGTAAGAACTGTTCGGGTGGGGAGAGGCCATGCCCATGCTCCCCCGGTGGGAAAGTGAGCACTGATTTAGGCTGGGGGAGGGAGGGAGGGATCCCTGACTCGATCGGGGAGGGGGCAATGACCCAGACTCCCCGTGTTTGGGGAGAGCACTGATTTAGGTCAAAGGGGTCCCTGACTCTAGGAAGAGGGGACACGGCCCCAGCCTTCCCCTTGGAGGATCGGCCGCGGCGCGCCCCTCGGCCCGGCCCTGTGCTCCGGGTCCGGCCCCGGCCCGAGGCGGCAGCGGCGCAGATGGGCTGCTGGCGGCCGCGGCGGCGGCAGCGCGGTTATCAGCGCTCCTCGCAGATGGGCCGCCCGCCCTCCGCGCTCGCGGCTCCCCACTCCCCGCGGCCTGCAGCCCCGGCCCCCAGGCGCGGGGGGAGGCGCCTCCGGATCCGCTCCCCGGCTCCCGCCTCCCTCCCTCCCTCGCGGCCCCCTCACCCCGCGGGCCGGGCCCGGCGGCCGCAGGGGGGAGGGGGAGGGGGAGAGGGAGGGGGAGGGGACAAGTGCACTTTTCGTAACGACCGAATCAATTGTGTGTGAAGAGCCCGCTCCGGCCGGGGACCGGGCAGAGCGCGGGGCGGGCGGGCCGGACGGGGGAGGAGCGCGGAGGGGGGAGCTGGAGAGCGAGCGAGGGAGGGAGGCCGGCGCGGGGTGGCCCCGCTCGCTCACTCGGGCCGGGCGAGGCCAAGGAGGGAGCGAGGGGGGCAGGGAGGGAGGCCAGCCCGGCCCGGGAGGGCCGGGGGCTGAACGCACTAACGGAGGGTCTCCGCGACGGAAAGTTCAAAGCTCAGCAGCGCCCCGGGAGCAGCCGACCCCCTCCCCAAGCCCCCACCCGCCGCAGAACAATGAGGTCCCGGCGGGGGAGCCGCGGGGCCCGCGCCGCACGCCCTCTCCAGGGCGCCCCGGGCCGGAGGGGACGCCCCCGCCCGGCCGCCCGCCTCCCTCCCTCCCGGAGGCTGCGGCTCCCCGCCCCCTCCCCCACGCCACCCCGCCCGGACCGGCTGCCCCGGGGACGGGGGAGGGGAAGGGATGGATAGGTCAGGCCGCCCCCGTCCCAGGGAGGGGGAAGCCAGGGGCCCGGGGGGCGGAGGGGGCGCCCCACCCACCCGCGGGAGGCTGCTCCTGCGCCAGGCTGCGGCTCAGGCTGCCCCTCCCCGAGCCAACCCCGGGTGGGGTCGGGGAGACAGCGCCCGGGCGAGCCCCCTCCCCGGGCAATGGGAAGGCGACTGGACTCCCCGTCCCGTGGCTGCCCCTGCCCCCCGCCCGCGGCACCACCCTCCACACACACACACGCACACGCACACACAGGCACACGCACACACACACCGCCCAGCCGGCCCGGGGGCGGGAGCGCGAGGCGCCCGGGACAGGCAGCCCCGGGGCGGGCAGCGGGGCGGGGAGGGGGGGGGGGGGTTCGGGCTTCGGAGAAGCCGCCTGCTGGCGGGGGGAGGGGACAGGAGGACGGAACACACTGGGGCGAGCAGCCCGGGACGGCCCGCTCCGCAAGCCCACGGGCCGGGCAGCGGCGCAGAGGGGGGCAGGGACAGCCCGAACCCGGAGCGCCGCCTGGGCGGGCCGGGGCGGGCGGGCGAGCAGGGAAGCGTGCGTCTCGGGCGGGCCAGACCCACGGAAAGCCTCGGGGACACAGGTTCGGACACACATCCACACCCACACCCCGCCCCCGCCCACCCGGGGCCCCGCGGCGGGACCGGCCCGCGGCCGCCGCGCGCGCACTCACCGAGCCCGTCTTGACCGGCACATACACCACTTGGCCCATCTTGGGTTCCCGGCCGCTGCCCAGGCGGAAGCCCTTGGAGCGCACCCAGAACTGGAACTTGCCTTTCTCGCCGGCCGCCGGGCCGCTGCCCGCGCCGGTCCCGCCGCCGCCCTGCAGGACCTCGGTGATCCGCTGGTATTTGCTGCGTGTCACCGTCTTGGTTTTGGCCGAGTCGCCGTAGGTGCGCAGGCACCAGTCCCGGAACTGGCGGCCCAGCTCGGAGTCCCCGGGACTGCGCTCGCGCTCCCAGCCCCCGCGCAGCAGTAGCGTCGGCTTCGGCATCCTCTCGCCGCGCCCGGCGCCCTCGGGGGCGGGCCGGCCGCCGGGCCGCCCGGTGCCGGGACTGGGCTGGGCTGGGCTGGGCCGGGCAGGGCCGGGGCGCGCCGCGGCCGGGGCTGTCCCGCGGTGTGGCTCCGGCGCGGCTGCTGGATGGGCACGGGCGGCGGCCGGACGCACGGGGCTGCAACGCGCTCTGTCCTGCTCGGGCGGCGGCGGCGGCGTTGGCGGCGGCGGCTCCGGCTCGCCTCCTGCTCCGCCTCCTCCTCCCCCCCGGCCGGGATGCAGGAGCGATGGAGGCAGCTCGGGGCCCGGAGGTGCAGAGGGGGCGGGCCGCCCCGCGGGCGGCCGGGGGAGGCGGGAGGCGGGGAGCGGCCCGGGGCGCGGGGAGCGAGACCGAGCCTGGGCGAGGGCGGCGGCGGTGGCGGCGGCGGCGGCGGCTGTCAGTTCTCACGGCTCATCCTGCTCTTGCTCGGGCTCCCGCTGCCGCTGCTCTTCCTCCTCCTCCTCCTCCTCCTCCTCCTTCCTCTTCTCCTCCTCCTCCTCCCTCGCCCGCCTCCACCACGCCGCGGGATCCCACCTGTTAGAGCGTCGCAGCCCTCGCCGCGTCCCCCCCCACTCCCTCCCGCGCCCGCCCGCGGGGCCCAGCCTCCGCCCTGGCCCGGCCCCTGGGGGCGCGGGGGCTGCCGCGCCCGCAGCCACAGAGAGGACAGGAGCCGCAGGCGCACAGTGCTCAGCCCAGGGACTGAGTTTCCTCTGGCCAGGCCTGGCCCGAGCCTCCCAGGCCACACTCTGTCTGGACCTGCGGTCTCACAGGGAGTAGGGCACAGACCCCGCCCGGCCACGGCCACGAGCGTCCCTGCCTCCCCCAGTGGGCGGCCCCGGCTGACTTAGCCGGGCACTGGCAGTCCCTGCAACTGGTCTGACCTCTCTGGTTCGAGCCCAGAGCCAGAAGAGCAGTGTTCTCCAGGGGAACCCCTAACCACTGCCCTTAGGGCCCCCCAACTTCCTTCAGCCTTACCCCAAATTCCCTAAAGTTTGCTAACCTTGCTTCTGCCAGTCTCACTGCTGTGGGGACAGCCCCAGGCCCCAAGGAAGTCTCAACACTGGCCCTTGCCCTCACTCAGTCCAACGCCACCAAGGCTTTAGGTGACATTCAACACACCCATAAATCCAGTCTGAAATAGCCTGTCTTCGTGGGTGCACCTTGGCCTAGAATCTTGCTGAGTAAATTCAGGTGGCCTGCCATCCCCCTCCCCCTGGGCAGGGCTGAGCCTGAGTGGAGCCGGCCCCCTCCTCCTTAATGAAATTACCAACATAAATAAAGGTACAGGCCAATTCCCCAGAACTTCTGCCCTCCTTTCTTAACAGGTCATGAGGAATTGCTGTGTTTCTCTCCCTGCTGTTCCCTGGGGTCTAGCCCACACCTTCTCAGGCTTCTCCTGCAAGTCGCCACTCAAGCCCGAGGCCCAGATTTTGGCCAGTGCAGGACCATTTTCTGCCTAGGAACTACTGGCTACCCCCATCCCAAGGTCCCCCCTGGTACCTACAGTGTACCATGTCCTGGCAACTCTGAGAGGCAAAGGGGGCAGGCCTATTTTTACAGATAGAGGCCTAGGGCGTTGGAGTGATGGCCTGACCTGTTCAAGGTCATTTGGGGAGGAGGGGAAGGTTTCAGTTCAGGTCTAGCTTTTGCTGCCACATCACACAGGAAGTCTCCCCCTACCATCCTGCTGGGAGGAATCCCAGCACTGTATGTGCCCAGCTCCCTTCCCCAGACAGGGAGCTCAGGACCCATGTCTGACTCATCTCCATCCCCTCGGCCCTAACACCACACCTGGCACACAGTAGGTGCCAATAAATGCCGAAAGAGCCTGAGAGGTTGTCCAAGTACCAATCTCTCTCTGCATTTCACATTGACTTAATTTTAGATAATTTACATTTCCATGTTACTTTATATATACATCCCAACAACTCCACAGTCATTTTTTTCCCTCTTTATCTTCCTAGGAGCTCTTTTTGGTTCTATACTGGCATTTTTCAGAGATGACCGCCGGGGCTCAGAGAGGGGGAGGCTCTACCCAAGGGCCACCCAACGCCGGGGGATGCAGGGGCTCCTGTGTGACTGGGAAACCCGTGCCCCGCCTGTTCCAATATCCCCCTGCACGTCCCCACGCGGACTCCCTTCAGCCAGCAATGCTAACGCTCCCTCTCAGCAAGGGTGCCCTGGTGCCTAGGAGGTAGGGTCCCCATTTGAGACCAAGTCTCTTTGTTCAGTTCCAAGACCCACACTGGGCCAGACAGCCTCACCATGTAATCTGGGTATCTTACTCTGCCTTTCAGAAGCTGAAACCATGGTTGTCAACCTTGGGCTGTGTTCTAGTTTGGCAGAGGTGTGGTATAGTGAAGAGAGCGTGGGCTTTGGGTAGAGTCAAACAGACATGGGATTGCATCCTGACCACTCTTATATGCCATGGCGTTCTTCCTGCCCTTCATAGCCATTGGCTGCCTCCTAACTGAATTAACCCATCAGTCCACCCTTTGCTCACTAAACCCCAACTTCATTGTCTGTATAATGGACAGTGTCATGGATGTAAAAGCTCAGCAGAATAAAATGTGAGAGAGCCTGGTATATAACAGGTAACTAATAAATGCCATTTTCTCCTTCATAGAGTCTGCAAAGTATTCAAGGAAGAGGATGAGCGTTGTTGACACTTTTCATGTTTCATTCATGCAACAAACGTTTCCTGAGCAACCATTATGCACCAGGTACTGGGGAGATAGCCATGGGATACCAAGGTCCTTGCCCTCTTGAAACTTACTGATGTGTGTGTGTGTGTGTGGAGGGGGGGGAAGTCATTCATTGAACAAACCAACTATCAATGATTATAGCTTGGGGAAAGGGCCATGAGGGAAATGGGGAGCTGTGAAAACAAATAATGGATGGGAATGAGGAAAGACCCCTCTGTGGAGGTAGATTTGAGCAGTGATTTAAATGAAAAGGAGCCAACTATGCTATGTTATGAGGGAAGAGCATTCCAGGCAGATGGAACAGCATGTGCAAAAGCCCTGAGGTGGGAAAGACATTTGAATGTTAATCAATTTTTAAATTTTTTTTTTTTTTTTATTTTTAATTTTTATTTTATTGATTTTGTACAGAGAGGAAGGAAGAGAGATAGAGAGTTAGAAACATCGATGAGAGAAAGTCATCGATCAGCTGCCTCTTGCACACCCCCCACCTGGGGATATGCCCGCAACCAAGGTACATGCCCTTGACCGGAATCGAACCCGGGACCTTTCAGTCCCCAAGCCGACGCTCTATCCATTGAGCCAAACCGGTCCCGGCTGGGAAAGACATTTGTATTTTCTAAAAGCTGAAAGGAGGCCAGTGTGACTTACAGTGAGGTGAGGAGGGGTGGGAAGACAGGATACCATGGGGAAAACTTTGGATTGCATTTTATATGTGAAGGGAAGCCACTGGGAGTTTTAAATAGGGGAGACACTGAGGAGCGGAGAGGAAACGTGAAGTGGAGGGCAGCTACAGTCCAAGTCTATGATTAAGGGTCTTGCAGGAAAGAGGCCTTGGTTTTTTCTCCCAGGTATCAGCTCACTCTACACCAGCCACATCTCAGCCTCTCACCCTAAGTGGAGGTAGCTGAGCCAAGGAGTAACATGGCCTGCTATAGCCCATCCCCACTTCTGTGGAACAGATCCCTGGACCTCTGTCCTGTTCAGTGGGATCCTTTAGCAGGGGTCCTGCCCCAGAGCATGCTGGGTGGAAAGTTTCTCACAATGCCCAGCATGGGGGTGGGGTGGGCAGTCATGATCCTAGAGGGCAGTGGTTCCTCCTTCCCACACCAGGAACCTGCCAAAAGGACATACATAGTAGGTTGTCTCACTAATCATTCCGTGGAACCCCTGGATATATATATTTTTAAACTTTAGTCCAGATGTCCAAGGGAAGCTGGGATTGAAGCAAAAAGGGTTCATAGTACTGCCAATACTGACAGTAACATTTTGGGTCACAAGAGGTAAGTGATGAAGGGTCTGCAGAGAGTTTCTAGTTTAAACAGCCTGTTACAGATGAATAAACTGAGGACCACAAGAGGGAACAGGCTTGGGGTCACAGGCAGAGTGGGGCACCTAGCCTTCGGTTTGGCCCAAGTCACCTGCTTTTCTCTGAGCTCCCAGGTGAATAGGAATGCCTGCAACTCAGAGTGAGAATGTCCCAACCTGGCCTGAGGTGTGGCAGAGCTCCAGGCCTGGGGGAGGGCAGTGTGACGCAGGCACCCACCGGGGCCTGTCCACCAATGGCGGGGAGGAGGCCCTGGAGCCTGGCAGAGGACTGGCTGTCACTGCCAGACGCTGGTGCCACCCCCATCGTGGACTTGTGCAGCCATTGCCACCCACCCATTTCAAAGCATCTCCCCCGTAGTCTGCCTGGCCACGCAAACCTGCTATTCCAGGTCCGCCTCACTCAGAAAGGCTTCCTGGCCGGTCAGTTTGGTTCAGGGACTTCTGTGGTTGCCCACAGCCCTCTGGGCCTTTCCCATCCCAGCTCTGACTACACAATATCATGATTGCCTGGTCGCTTGTACCTACCAATACCCAGCACAGGCGCAGAAGTTCAATAATTACTGAACAAATAAACGAATGAATGAATGAACGAACGAACGAACTGGTTCTCAAAGTGCACATCTCAGACTGAAGTCTGCAGCATTCTCTGCCTCTCCCCAGTCATTCCATCTATCAGCATTTAGTGTGCTCTTCCCAATAGGCTCTGCCATGGAGTGACCTTACATGAGCACTTTGATTTCTCTCAGCCTCGTTTTCAATGTCGGTAAACTGGGCATAGTAATTTGTCCTAACTCACTGGGCTATTGCAAGGATAAGCGCTTAGTAACTGTTAGCTCCTATTATCACTACATCTGTCTACCATGCATTCGATGTTTGTGCATCCTCTGAGTGTCAGATGCCATGTCTGGTATTGGGAATGCAGCTACAAA